GTTTTTGGGGCATTGGGGAAGGAAATCGTAGGGACTTTTGGGCTGGTTTTACTACTGGTGCCTAACAGCGTTTTGTTGTAACTGCGAGTTCGCACAACGAACAATCCTTTGCACGACGAAGACTCGCCCCAGACTTGCACGGCGAACTGTCCAGCAAACGTAGTAGAGTTTCGCAATTGTGTTCTTGTGCAGTGTTGTCTTGATGCTTTGATGTTGTGATTTTCTGGATGAATTACCTTGAGTATGACTGTGATTCATATGTGATTAATACATGATTGTATGATGATTCCTATGAGTAATGATGATGATTTATGATGTTGATTCCATGAGTTTTTGATGATTATACGATGACATGATTATTATGATGATTTTGATGAATGATGATGCACCTAATGAGTTTATTATGAGGATGATATTGACGTGTGCAACATGCATTCATATACATTCCAGACTTCGGTCTAGTGTTTGATTCTTGTGGCTTAAGTCCCATTGGGTGGATGTGAAGTATTTTGTTGTGCTCCGATTCTTGTGTAGAATCGATCCTATTGATGTGGATCTATGGAGGATTGATGGCCCAGTGTCCATCAAACTTTGATGAATTGGTACCACATGCATGAGTCTTGTTGCATTTGCATTTATGTGACAATTTGGTGTAATTTATGATATTATGGCTTTTTGATGTTTCCTTGATGATTATGATGATGTTGAATACGAAAATGACGCTATTTTATATATTGATTATTATGAATCATTTTACTCACCCTGCCTGTTTGAATGTTGCCTCCAAGTGGGTAACGTGCAGATGACCAAGTTTAGCCATGGATGTCGTCGAGGAGTTTTTAGAGTTTTTGAATTTTGGTTGACTTATAGGGTCTTGCTTTGATAGTTAACATCAGGTTGGGGTCTTTGAGTTAAACCATGTTTTATTGATTATTGTTATTTTGATTATGTTGTTGCGCAAGGAAAACGTTGGATTTTGCCTTTTTGAGTTCCGCTGCCTTTTGAGCAATTTTAGAGTAATTTTGAAAAAATCTGTTGTTTACGGAGCATTGACTTTTATTTGAATTATTGAGAAATGTAAGCCCTTTTAGGTAATTTTTATTGCGTTTAATATTTTACTCTGATAAATGTGATTGATTTGCCATTATATTTGTTGGGTAGAAAAGGGTGTTACAGTTATCCTTTCGACCATATCCACTAAGTTATTATCGACAACTATGTTGTTACGTCGAACCTGTTGTATAATATGGCCAACATCTTGGTTTCGATTTACCATAATTGCCTCTTGTCCCCTCTCTACCAGAACTGGCACTTAGTTCCTAGGTGGTTTGACTCTAGGAGGTTCGAGTCTAAGAGGTTCAACTATCCCCTGATTTTCTAGATTCGCCTCAGGTACGTTCCCTAGGTTCCGTCGTGGAATGTTTTCCACAACAGGTGTGCCTTGAACAGAGGCTGGTACACCCATAAATTATGCCAAGCGTGCTAGTTGCACTGCTAATTGTTGGTTAGTCTGGGTAGTGTTCTGGATCAAGGGCTGGAAAATTTCCCCCATAGTTTGGGACAAGGTTTGTACCATTTATAGGTTACTCTCATCCATTTGCTGTCTTAAACATGCTATAGAAGTATTTGTCAGATTAGGGCCTTGAGTGGAATACCCCACACCTACACTTTGACTGTTTCGACCCACATTTATCCTAGATTGTGACCCTTGTAATGACGAAGCCATTACATTCTCTGAGAATACCGGGGGAGAATTTTGGAGGCCTTGCATTACCGACGTTGGCATTCCATACGGTGGATTCTTTGGTAATGGTTGTGAAAACCCTAGAGGGGGAAAATGCCTAAACTTCGAAGTTCCTCCTGGTGGAGTTTGGGGATTAGATGCTTGTGGCTCGATGTACTCCAAAACAGGTTGAGTGTAAGCCCTTATATCTGTCGACCCTGAACCCACCACTGATGGCATTGGTTCAGACATAACAGGAGGCGGTATTTTCTCTCCTGTCGAAAGGACTGAGGGTGACACTACATCGTTTCTAGACACGTCTCGAGGATTAGTGTTACTAGGCTGAGGATTAGAACCACTCCCTCGAGGGTTTGGATTGTTTGGATGGTTAGCATTTGTCGCCATATTCCTAGTGTAGCTTATCCTTGGTCTCTCTTCGTTTACAATGACTATTTTTCCACTTCTCAATAACATGCAACAAAGTTTTTTTTCAAAGAAAAGACTAATAAATACAGATTTTCAAAATCTTATAAAATTTAGCACTGTCCCACCGGGTGTGCCAATTTGTTTCCTGTGAAAATTGGAAAACAATCGCTAATCTTCCAAATCTAACTTTGGTGACTCACAAAATCGATCAGATTGATCCTAGGATGCTAAATATTGATTTTAAGAAAATTCTAAAGACTAAACACTTCAACAGTGTTTATAAAGAAAAGTTTATTTAAACGTATGGTGCGAAAGAAGGGCTGAAGACGTTAAAGAAATGCTTAAAAGAAACAAGACATAATGCTGAAATGTAACTTGCAGAAAAGTAAAAGATAAACTCTTTCAATGAAAAGTTAAAGTAAATTTCATTAAAGAAGAAAATGGTGTTTTACATCACATACATTCTCCTAAGACTCTTTTCTCTACACACAGATACTTTGAGTAAATTTGGAGTAACTTGTACAAAGTGAACACAACACACTTAATCCTATTGCTAAAACTCCTATTTATACTAATAAAATTAACTGCTGTTAACTTCCTAAGACAATTAACATCTGACAAGTGTTGCGCTGCATGCTTTTGCCTCTTGGATGTACGCCATTTGTTATTCAAGAGTGGACAAAAATAACTACTCCCTCCTTTATTTGAATTTTAAATTCTCTTAGAAAATATGCCTAAGTCTAAAAAGTATCCCTTTCTTATGTAAGTGTCTTCGACTTAAACTTATCCTGAAGATCCAGTCGAAAACTCCTTTTACACCTCTTCAAGAACTTAACATTCCAACCAATACTTCCAATTTAATATGAGCGTCGAATTTCTGAGCTAACACTTACAAGCAACAATAAGAGGAATAAGTACCTGGGAATTATAAATTCTTCTTTTCTCTTTAGCAAGCGGTTCAGGTAGATATTGTTGATTTCCCACCGTAGTTGGACCATTGATTGTGTCAAACAAAGGAAGTTAAGAAATCTTCAGAGGTTTAGTAGATTCCTTGGTGGCTTTGGTGACGTCTTTGGTGGAATGCTTTAAGGAAGCCATTGTTGAAATATAGCTAAACTGAGTTGTTTAGAGGAGAAGAAGATTGTGAAGTTAGGGGTTCAGAAAGTGTAAAAAGAGGAAAGAAATGAGAAATTGAGTATTTATAAGGATGGAAGCGGAAACAGTTCTGAAGCAACATTAATGGTTAAAATTGGAGTAGGACACATGTTCTTTCCACTATCCTTGATGAAACGGTGACAGTTAATGCCTAGCCCCATGATCTTCTAGGGTCTAGGATACGTGATGATGACAAAGATTCTCACGTAGGGCTGATGGGACGTTTCAGAAAAGGTAATCATGACCATGACGTCATAGGCGTGCTATAGAAGGTAAACCGTTTATAGCAGTGACTCATCCGAATGTCGAATCACACATGGATCGCTTAAGGCGTCTAATAAAGCTATCAAAAATGTATTTTTCTTTCTTCAGTGCTATCGAAAATGACATTTTTGGGGGGCATTTTGTTAGCTCTCAAATTCGACTCCTAGTTTTAATTAATGAAAATAATAAAGAGAGTTACATAAAGTGGTGAGAGGTTTCGAAAAAGTTGTGAAATTTGCTTGTTTTGGTTGAAGCTACTTTTTGTGTAAGGATATGCTGATTAAGATTTGAAGAAAAAAATATTTTAAAGTCTTAGAAGTTGGTTCGACAGAAGATGATGATGTTGTTTCGACATGTGATTTGAATTCAAATAAAGGAGGGAACTTTTGTTCTTATCTAGATTTGTGAAGAAGACACGTGAAATTTTTTAAGGAAATGGGACATGCCGAGCGCCACTTGTCATTTGTTTGTAGGAAGAACGTTATGGTCGGTTATTTTTTATCATTATAAATAGAAAGTCCTATCGTTAGGATCAATGCGTGTTCAAAATTTCTTAATTACTCAAAATATCCGTGTGCAGAGAAAAAAGTGTGTCGAGAAATTGTACGTTTGACAAACACCATATTTTTACACTTTAATGCAAATTTCATCTTTTACCACAAAGTCTATCTTTTTATTGTTCAAATTATTTTTCAATGCATTTAAATTCTTTTAATTAAGTTTCTGAAATTTACTTCCTTTAAATTTCAAAGTTAATAGTTGTTAGATCATGAGTATTGTCGAAATATTCACTATTTTTCAAACTTTAATTTAAGAATTACTAACACATTTCTTAAGATTTGTATGATTAATTCTGTATGTAACCCAATTCTTTTTCAATTGGAAAGACCAATAAATGTTTACTAATTTTCATAATAAATAGATTTACTTTGTCTTAAGATTTTTTCGAATGTAATCCCTTAAATAAAATAAAAATTATTTTTGTTTACTAAATTTCATATTAATCAACATGCTTAAAACCATGACCCATCCTAAAAACAAATACAGGTAAAATGCGCATTGGTTTGGATGTAGCTGGAAGGAAAATGAAAAAATATATTGGAAAGGAATATCATAAAATTTAAGTCTTCAAAATCCAATGGGGTAAATAAAATTTGTCCACATTGCACCACTTAATAAGCCCGTGTGTATATTAGAAAAAGCTAATTTCCCTTTCTGGACCAATGAACGTGTAAAGCCAGAAGCAACTTTGCCACGTAAACTTCCTCACGGATTTATTTAACGAATTCCACTAAGTCGAACCTGCGCGTATTAAAAACTCCCTTTCGTCGTTCATAATTCAATGGAAGTGTGAGTCACTGAGACACTCACACAAACGTAGCGAGCTCAACCTAAAGTTCAGAACTCAAAGAACCACCAATCTCATTCTCCAATGGATCCTTCATCTTCCACATCACTGCCACAATCTCTCCACCTCGCCATGGCCGCGTTGCTCGGAGCCTCTTTCATGGCCATTTCCGCCTTTTACATCCACCGCCGTACCGTCGACCATGTTCTCCACCGTATCCTCGAAATTCGCCGCGCACCGCCTGTTTCCAATACCGAAGAAGCTTCCTCCGACGAGGAAGAGAATTACGACGATGATCTGAGCGAGTACGACCGAGAAGAAATGGAAACGGTTACCGATTCGAGAAACTATAAAGGAACGCTGTCGAGGTCCGTAGATGAGAACAGCATGAACTTGCTTCGAAACTATAGAGTTTCGTCTTCCATGCCGGACGTTGTTTCTGCAACCGAATGGTTCCGTGATCATCCTAAGAACCGTTCGTCGTCTCATGAGAGTCTTAATTCTGTTCCAATTGGGCTTCCGTCTCTCCGAATGAGCTCGAAGCATGGTGAGAATTTGAAAAACCTAAGAATTTTTATTTTTTTTCGCTTGGATTAAACTGTGATTTATGTGTTTTGGTTTTGGTTGCAGATAGTGCTCAGATTTCGAGTTCTTATAAGAGGATAGGCTCGGTCGGTAGAATTAAGACTCCGATGTCACCCGGGCGTAATGCGTTTGAAAGTGCTGAGGATTCTGATGATGATGGAACACAGCTTGGTGATGATAATCACATTCCTTTCTACCCTGTGACTAGAGATTCTTCAAATTCTTATGTAAGGATTATTATTTATTGTTTGTTGGGATACTTATGCTATTTAAAGCTTTGTCAGCTAAACTATAGTTTGTTGTTGATCATTTTTGGGAATGGATCCTCTCGTATGATTTTCATATGAGAGAATAAAGTGTAATCTCTCACCATTCAAATTCTATTGGTTTAAACATATCATATGTTTTTCTCTCCTTTTGAATGACACATGAGCGGATCCTACACGTGTTTTCGTGTGATTTTGGTAAGTTTAGTTAGGCCTGATTGTTTTGCTACAATGTTATGTTATTTTTTAGGGTTTACTAAGTTCTTAGTCTCTATATTTATCCTTGGATGTTTCACAATTCAAAGGCTATATTCTTGAGATGAAGCTTTTTTGATTTGGTAATTTAGAGATAATATTGGTGTTGTTTGGTGCATGATAACCAATCTTTTTCCTTCGGAGTTCTTATCCTTCTTGCTTTGTGGTGGCATTTTCATTAATTCATTATACTGTTATCTTATTTCTATACTTTCCTTTAAAATGGATCATGGTCTTGTTGCATTGCAGGGAGTTAATCCAACTATTCCTTTCAGAGCTGATGATGTCAATTGTGCAAAAAATCAGATTTTTGGAGAAGTTTCTAAAGAAGCAGGAGCTGGTGCAGATATGAATGGTGGAACGAAAGATTCAACTGCAGCACATGCAGCCGGGAATGACCTTGTGTTTGTCAATAATGTCTTGTCTGCAAGAAGCGCAGCACTTGGTACTTTCATTTAATATCATTATTTGTTATTCTTCTTTTTGTTTCTAAATACTTATGTGCTAAACACTTTTTAGATTTATTCCTGCATGTATCCTCCTTTTCCTATCCTCCATTTGCTATTCTTATTCTATTTTGACTCTGTTTCATCCCATCCCAGTTTTTATGCTAACGATAGAAAACACTATGATTATGTTTTTCTACCATTGTTTTGCTTTTATAATATATATATATATATATATATATATATATATATTGAAAAAAATGAAAGAACCGGTATTAAATGCATCATTGTCTTGTTCAGAGCCATTGAATATTGAAGAAGAGGAAGTTTGCAAGATGATGCGAGAATGCTTAGATTTGCGTAAGACATATGTTTACAAGGAAAATGTTCCATGGAAGGCTGAACCTGTCGAAACTAACTCTGATCCATTTCACTTTGAACCAGTTGAAGCAACAGGAGTATGTTTGTTGCTTGTCCATCATTTGATCTGTCACTCAGACAATTTATAATACACGCGGGATCTTCTTTAGTTATTACATACATTTTTGTTTCGAAGTGTTTGTCTGATAATGTTATGACTTACTGACTTCTTGGCATTGCAAACAGCACCACTTTAGGATGGAAGATGGAGTTGTACGTGTTTTTGCAAGTCGAACTGGTGAGCACAGAGTGTTAACTATATGACAATGTGATGATTATTTCTCAATTATCTAGTTTTCGTTATGTAGTTTTTCAAGGATCAAAGAACTAAGCTTTATATGAAAATGTGTGCAGACACGGAAGAGCTATTCCCTGTTGCAAGCGCAACAATTTTTTTTACTGATATGGATTACATTCTTAAAGTTATGTCCATTGGGAATGTTCGCTCTGCATGCTACCACAGGCTACGATTTCTTGAGGAAGTGTGTTTTCACAACCTTCTTTATACATGGTTTCTTTATGCTTTCCTGTGGCGTTTGTTTATAACATGCATCTGATCATTATACAGAAATTCCGCCTTCATCTGTTACTGAATGCAGATAGGGAGTTTGTTGCCCAGAAAAGTGCCCCCCACCGAGATTTCTACAATATCCGAAAAGTTGATACTCATATTCATCATTCTGCATGCATGAATCAGAAGCATCTCCTTCGCTTCATCAAGTCAAAATTAAGAAAAGAACCTGATGAGGTGAAAATCTTCTCTTTGCTCTTGTATTTTTAGATTTATAGCTTTTGTTTATTTTTCTATCACTATTAACTTATGTGTTCAGGTTGTTATATTTAGAGATGGAAAGTATATGACGCTTAAGGAGGTGTTTGAGAGTTTGGATTTGACTGGGTATGCATTGTCGTCTGATATTTTCATTTAACAACTTGAAAAATGAGAATATTATATATATTTATGGGCTTGCATGTTTGCATGTTTCTAATTAGTGAAAATTATGATGCAGATATGATCTGAATGTGGATTTGTTGGATGTCCATGCAGATAAGAGCACATTTCATAGATTTGACAAATTCAACCTAAAGTATAACCCTTGTGGACAGAGTAGACTTAGAGAGATATTTTTAAAGCAGGATAATCTTATCCAGGGTTAGTTTGGAAATGAGAATGATACTTATTTAAGTGGATAAAGTTTAGATATTCCAAATGATTTTTAGAAGTGATAGTTGATGCTTTTTGATTTCATAGTAGCTTAAAACTACCCATATTGCAGGAAGGTTTCTGGCTGAAGTTACAAAGCAAGTTTTGTTAGATCTTGAAGCGAGTAAATATCAGGTAAAGTTTTCAGTGATCTAATTAGCTTCCCCCTGATAATTTTATCTCTGTATTTATGTCAACACAAATTTTTCAGATGGCCGAGTACAGGATCTCTGTTTATGGAAGAAAACAGAGCGAGTGGGATCAGCTGGCAAGTTGGTTTGTTAACAATGCTCTGTATAGTAAGAATGCCGTATGGCTAATCCAGGTAGTGTGTTGTTCAGTCTGCTATTCTTGCAGCATATCTCTCTCATGCTTGGTTTGATGATTAGTCAATGGGCCTCGGTAGTAACCCATAGTGGCCTCAATGGTAAATTCTGTCCACTTTTGTTTTGTTTGTCTTATATGTGTTAGATTTGTCCTCTGAAGCATGACTACTTGTAAAATGATGGAATACTGTACTGGTACGCGTACTTACCCGCCACCTGTACGGTACTCCATTTTTTTTCACATTATTTCGTAGCAAGTATAATTTGTGACTATCTTATATATTCATGCAGTCCCTTAAGTTTCATCTTTTTCCTGGGCTGGTCCTTCAAGTTTTATTTTTTTTTCCAATTGGTCATTTATGTTACATTATGTTTGCACTATTAGTCTTTTTAACAAGCTCCATTAAAAAAAAAGCACATGTGACATGTTAATATTTAGATAACTTACATAGAAATGACAGACAGTCTCTTATATTTCTTGATAGAACCCCCAAGTCTATTAATGTTGAGCCCAATATTGATATTGGGGTGGTTCCACCAAGGCCCATTATTTGAAAAGTATATTCTAGAAGAAAGAGAAGGAGTGGGGGTAAGCAGTTATAGGATGTGGATCCTTAGAGAAGTGAGGGTAGGTGGTTACAGAACGTGGGATTCATTCTGCTGCAGCTCTATTTGATTGTCTATAAGAAAGCATGATTAGTGGGGAGAGAGGGGGGTATTATTGGTTATTAGATTAAGGAGAACATATTTTCTGGTAGGAGTCTGTGACTTTGGTTGAATTGTAATCATTCACATCCAATTACTTTATTCAATAAGTTACCAATTTCTATACGTTTTTCCTGAGTTTCTATCATTGGTCCGACCTACCAGATCCATCGAGAGGAGCCAGTAAATTTGTGATTAGTGCCACCAAAAATGTCTGAGTGGATGAATTGGAGGATCGAGTTCCGTCAATGGAAGAAGCGTTTAACGCGAGAGTGTCGACATTGGAGGAAACGTTTCGCCAAACGCTTGCTGATTTTCGCCTTGGTGGAAGAATTCGCGAAGATTCGACTCGAGCCTGAAAACACTCTGTCAGCATCTGTTGTGGAGGAAACGGTGTCGGAGTATCAAATGGCTGTGAAGAAAGTGGAACTACAATCGTTTGATGGTGAAAATCCGGTGGGGTGGATCACACGAGCCCCAAACTAAATTGAGTCATGGGTCTGTTTCTAACCCATCTGGAAATTCGAACTGGGTCGAATTTAACACATCTAATCCATTTGGAACGAGTAATTTCAGAAAGGGGTCATCCAATCCTAGCAGTCAAAATTCGAATACGGTGAACAATGGCGATGAACGACCACGTAATCGTGGAATCAAACACCTTCCTTACTCCGAATTGATGGATCGTAAAGCAAAGGGTTTATGCTTTCGTGGGGGCGAACACTTCCACCCTTTACATCAGTGCACCGAGAAGCAATTGAGGATAGTGATACTCGGTGACGATGAAACTGTGAATGAAGATGGAGAAGTAATAGCGATGAAGATTAAGGACGAAGAGATTGAAGAAAAGATAGAATGCTACTCATTGGGTTTATTCAGATTGACCGAAACCTCTTGACCGTACAAAGTGAGACCCACAACCTTGAAATTGCTGGGGAGTTTGAATGGAGTTCCGATATTAATCTTGGTTGATACATGAGCTAGCCTCAACTTCGTATCTCCTAAGGTTGCTACTGCATTGGGACTGAACGTTCAACAAAAACGTATTATGGGAGTTCGATTAGGGGATGGAAACCATGTCTTCATGTTGGGAAAATGCGAAAGGGAAATGGTGGAAATGCATGTAGGGGGATTTTCAATTCAAGTAGATGCACATGTTCTAGAGTTGGGAAACTTAGATATGATCCTTTGAGTAAATTGGTTAAGGAGATTTGGAAAGATAACACTTGACTGGAAAAATATGACATTGAGTTTCAATTGGCAAGGAAGGATTGTAGAACTACAGGGGCATGGGCAGGGACAGGAACAAGGTAGAAAGGAGTTGCAATCTCAAACAGAATCACTACACAATCTGTTAGGAGACGGTTCGAGATACGAAGAGGTGACGATGCCAACATTGAATGAAGTTCAGCAAGAGGAACTGCGCAGGGTAATGGGAGAATATCGAAGAGTATTTAAAGAATTAGAAGGTCTTCCTCCTAAGAGAGAAATTGAACACTCGATTGTGTTGGATCAGTTTTCAGGGCCAATAAGTGTGAGACCTTATCGTTACCCTTACCACCAACAAAGAGGAAATTGAGAAGCAAGTGCACAGCATGCTTGATCAAGGTATCATTAGAAATAGTTCCAGCGCATTTTCAAGTCCTGTAATATTGGTGAAAAAGAATGATGGTTCGTGGAGGATGTGTGTCGATTATAGGGAGCTAAACAAAGTCACCGTACCTGATAAATATCCAATTCCTGTTGTGGAAGAGCTGTTGGATGAACTACATGGGGCAACTTACTTCACCAAATTGGATTTAAAGTCTGGATATCACCAGATAAGGGTAAAGGAGGAAGATGTGCACAAAACAACATTCCGCACTCATGAGGGACATTACGAATTTCTCGTAATGTCCTTCGGATTGACAAACGCCCCAACAACCTTCCAATCCACCATGAATCAGGTATTCAAGACCTACCTCCGAAAGTTTGTGTTAGTTTTTTTGACGACATATTGGTGCATAGTAAATACTGGGCAGAACATGTGGGACATCTTGCCCTGGTGCTAGAGGTGTTATAGAAGCATGTGTTTGTTGTTAATAAGAAAAAGTGTAATTTTGGTGGTAGGAAAGTGGAATATTTAATACACTTAATTTCTGAAAAAGGAGTTGAAGTAGACCCGGAAAAAATTAAAAGTGTGGTGGAATGGCCTATTCCTCATAATGTCAAGGGAGTGAGAGGATTTTTAGGCCTAACGGGTTACTATAGAAAATTCGTTAAAGGGTATGGTAAGATTGCTAAACCCTTAACCGAATTAACTAAAAATGATGGTTTTCTGTGGGGACCCGAAGCATTGAAAGCCTTTGAAGAATTAAAGAAGATCATGACTCAAGCTCCAGTATTGATTCTTCCAAAATTTTCCCAACCTTTTGGAATTGAGTGTGACGCATCTGGGAAAGGTGTAGGAGATGTTTTGGTGCAGGGAAAAAACCGATAGCTTACATTAGTAAAGCCTTATCAAAAGCTAATTTGAGCAAGTCGGAGAAACCGATAGCTTACTTTAGTAAAGCCTTATCAAAAGCTAATTTAAGCAAGTCGTCATATGAGAAAGAGTTGATGGCCTTGGTGTAGGCTGTGCAACATTGGCGACCTTACTTATCGGGGAGGAAATTTGTGGTGTATTCCGATCAAAAGAGCTTCAAACATTTACTGCAACAAAGAATTACCACTGCTGACCAACAGAACTGGCTTGCTAAACTGTTGGGATACCACTTTGAAGTGGTGTATAAACGTGGTCCAGAGAACAAGGCAGCTGACGTGTTGTTACGGCGTGATGAAGGTTACTTAAGAAATATTGTTTCCTTTCCCGTGTGGTTGCAGGAACAGCAAATAGCCAAATACAACAAGAAGTTCAATTAGATCCGTCTTTACAACAAATTATTGTTGATTTGCAAAATAACGCAGATTCTAATTCACGGTTCAGTTTGAAAGATGGTTTTCTACTCTACAAAAATCGTCTGGTGTTATCCTCTAAATCCACTTGCATTCCCACGTTATTGGAGGAGTTTCATTCAACACCAGCAGGATGTCGTTCCGGATTCCTCAGAACATATAGGAGAGTAGCAGGAAATCTATATTGGATAGGAATGAAAAAAACTGTGCAGGAATTTGTCAAGAGCTGTGATGTTTGCCAACGCCAGAAATATTCAGCCGCTTCACCAGCTGGGCTTCTTCAGCGGCTGCCCTTTCCTTCACGAGTATGGGAGGACATATCCTTAGATTTTATCACCGGGTTGCCAAAATCTAAGAGATATGAAGCAGTGTCCGCTGTGGTGGATAGGTGGTGGATAGATTGTCCAAGTATAGCCATTTTATCCCCCTTAAACACCCATATACAGCCAGAAAAATAGCGGAAGTGTTTGCCAAAGAAATTGTGTGTTTACATGGAATTCCTCAATCCATTGTAAGTGATAGAGACCCACTATTCATCAGCATGTTTTGGAGAGAGTTGTTCCGTTTGCAGGGTATAGTTTTGAAGATGAGTTCGTCCTATCATCCCGAGATGGATGGACGAATGGAGGTAGTTAACCGTTGCTTAGAAGCATACTTAAGATGTTTTGCATCGGAACAGCCCAAAACTTGGGTTCAGTGAGTACCTTCGACAGAACTGTGGTATAACTCAACATTTCATGTGTCAATGGGGACAACACCCTTTGAAACAGTTTATGGAAGGAAGCCACCTCTGATGGTGAGATACACACAAGGAGAAACTAAAGTGGCAACAGTGTCTGAAGAATTAGTGGACAGGGATGAGGCATTGAGACAGCTGAAACATCATCTGATTAGAGCAGAGCACAGGAGGAAATGAAAAAGTATGCAAACAAGAAGAGAAAAGATATATCCTTGAAGGTAGGAGAGTGGGTCTTTCTCAAGTTGAGGCCACATCAGCAACAAACAGTGGCTAGGAGGATAAATCTGAAGCTGACCCCTAAATTTTTTGGACCATTCCCTGTGGTGGAATGGATTGGAGCTGTATCTTACAAATTAAAACTGACAGATGATGCACGAGTTCACCCGATTTTTCATATATCCCAATTAAGGAGAACATATTCTCTGGTAGGAGTCTGTGACTCTGGTTGAATTGTAATCATTCACATCCAATTACTTTATTCAATAAATTACCGATTTCTATACGTTTTTCCTGAGTTTCTATAATTTCTCTCTTGGCATCTTGTTTAAATTTAAATTCCCAACCCCAAAAACCTTAGAATCAGAATGCCTAACTTTTTGCCAAAAAATCTTCATTAAGAGC